TGCTGCTGGTGTTGCTGCTGTTGTTGTTGCTGTTGTCATTGTAGCTGTTGTTGCTGCTGTTCCTGCTACTACTGTTGCCGCTGCTGCTGTTTGCTGCTATTGTTGTTGCAGTTGCTTTTGATGTACGTTGGTGCTGCTATTGTTGTTGTTGTCTTTGTCATTGCTGTTGCTACTACTGCTACTCATGCCGATCATTATCTGGGTTTTATTTTATTAACGCTGTTTGTTACTAACAGCTAAGTAACTTTGTTTTAAATTTTCAGTTAAAACTTAGCTTTGCATTAGTATTGGTATATGAATTCCTATTTGGCCATGGTCTAAAGTGTGGTGGGAAGTTCAAACAGTGCATATCAAGGAATAAATCTAGCCTTAATTCTGCACTTGCCAGGATAAAAATAAGAGAGAAGGTATCAAGCAATGCTGACCTACTTTCTACTAAAACTAAAGTAGCTGGTAAGTAAAAAACCTTGATATAATAAAACATATGATGATATTAATTAATGCATGAAATAGAGTGGGTTACAGTATATTTAGTACTTAGGGAGCTTTCATTCATTAGCACATGGGGGCTCAACAAAATTTCAGGGGGGTTATGCTATTTTGAGAAAGTGGTTAAGGGGTGGGCTATCACATATTGAGAAGCTTTTTGACTATTCCAGGGTGAAAAAAGGGTGGGTTATGCAATTGATGCCTTTACCATGGAGAGAGGTTGGGTTATGTGTGTAAAGCTTTCCATGTGATCTTGCCCCCCCCCCCCCCCCACGTACTAATAAACAAAAGCTCCATTACAGTCTTATTTGACAAAGAATGGTTGTGCAATGCTAACACTTCTCTATTGTCCCATTTTAGGATCAATCCCTAGATATGTGAGAGTAAACCTGCTTTTGACATCCATACGAGATGTTGTCCAGCATTTTAAGAATGAAGGATATAATATGCTGGAAATACCTCAAGATCTCTTGAAAAAGGTACTCTTATCAAATGGAAATTTATTTTATGCAGAATCAGCTGTCACCATCGCAAATACAGTAACAGAATAAACAAACATTCACAGCTGTAATAAAAAAATGTGGATTTTTTATTATATTTGGTAAAAGCAATTGTTAATCATAATATATTTTTTACCAAAATGACTATCATTCCTTCTCAATAAAATGACTATCATTCCTTCTCAATCTAATTGACTTTTTTCAAACTATATGTTTATTCTTATTCAAAAGGAAAGAAAGTCATTCCACATGGATGAAGATATCCCAGATGTTATTGTATTCCCACCAGCAACAGACTTACATAACCATCCTTTGTATTTAAAAGGGCATATCATACTACAAGACAAGGTACTCTGATGATTATTTGAAATACTTGACTGTGCTGTGTTTTGGGGTATTTGATTGGTAATAGATTGGATGGAGAGTAAATCCTCCTGCAATAATGTGTATGGGTATGCCTTAGTAACATGTCATGGATGCGTTCGTGCTGAACTTTTCACATGCAGTCATAAAAAGAATACTCTAATTTAACTTTCTGTCCTTGCACTGAAGGAGAATCAAATAGCAGTTGTAGAGGCTCCTTCATCTGTAACCTCTGAAGCAGAACCAATATCTAGAATAAAAAAACAGCTGATGATTTCCTAAAACCAGGAAGAAATGTGGATTTACAAAATATGGGACATTAATGAATCTTGTTACGGTATTTTGTTTCAGGCAAGTTGTCTTCCTGCCCATGTTCTTGATCCCCCGCCAGGGAGTCATGTGATTGACGCATGTGCAGCTCCTGGAAATAAAACCAGTCATCTTGCTTCTCGCATGAATAATAAAGGGTAAAAAATAATATAGAATACTTGTATAAGGCTTAATGTGAGTAGTTAGTTGGCTTTATGATTGATAAACGAAAGGACAGATGGATAGATGGATGGACTGACAGATGGACAGATGGACAGATGGATATTCTCCATGTATATGTTTATTTTATTCTCAAATTAAATCTTTCAATTTTCCAGCAAGATACATGCTTTTGACACTGACAGTCATCGGCTTTCAACCATGAAAAAGTTAATGACCACAGCAGGAGTGAGCTGTGTTACCATGAGAAACATGAGCTTCTTGAAGGTAAGAAACAAATATTTCCTTCATGACACCCATCTGGTTGCTCAGTTGGTAAGAAAGTAATTGTTGTGCGGTAGGTTGTGTTTGGAGGCTTGGCTGAACCAACATTCAGGGTCTTAAAATAACTGAGAAGAAATTGCTTCGTAATTACATAAATCTACAAATGGTTAGATTTTCAATTGGCTCAGTCCACCACTTTAAATGCCAGTCCCATCTCTCCACACTTCAGCATCACTAACCAATATTGGGGGGATATAAAAGGAACCACTGAAGACCTAAAGAAACCATGGCAGTGACCACTCATACTAACCACATCACAATATTGAGAATTGCATAAAGCATGTTACAAGTTGCAAGTTTTTCAAGTTGCACATTGTTTGGTGTATTCTAGGTTGATCCATCAGCTGAGGAATACAATGATGTTGAGTACATTGTTTTAGATCCTTCATGTTCTGGTTCAGGAATAGTCAATAGAATGGATCACCTCACTGATGATGAAAAGGTTTGATAACTATCTATTTTACGTCTAGATAACAAAATAACTAATGTTAACTAGATTGAGCTTTTTCTTTAAAAAATGTTACTCTTTGCTTTTTTTTTTTTTTTTTTCTTTTAATTTTTTTT